TGCATTTGCTGCAGGCCGCAACGCCTAGCGCCTAGAGCGCACCTGGCACGCGTGCCTCAATAACAATGGTGGATACACTCACGACTATAATTAATTAGCATAATGAATAGTATAACCTTAAACTTCATAACAACAAAAGCATATGAGTGTATTTTGTACAAACTATAAATATCCAATTATGTGAAATTAAATATTATCCTATGTTTCCAAGCTTTTTCATGGCTCACGTGATTTATGTTGTTTTTAATACTTTTTATTGTTTTAATAAATAATATCTGCTTTCTTCTATAATGTCCTTCGTCTTCTTTCAAAAAGGGTTTCTACACAGGATGTGCATTCTTGTTTGTTCCTTTTTTGTGTTGGTGTTGTGGGTTGCTGGTTGGGGCAGGGTGGTCATAGGAACCTAGAGGTCTCCTTTTTCGGCTTTAAGTTGAAGAGCGCAAAGCAGTTCTTTCAACCTTTTGGCTTTTGGCTTTTGTTCACTTTAGAACATAAAAGGCAGTGAAGGTCCGATAGAGACAATAAGAAAATCTTTCTTCACCCTTAATATAAACTCTTCCTGTGTCCCTCATTAATGAGTCATAAGCAATCCGTTCCACGCTGCATGAGTGGGGCTTATTCTTCACTTCATTTTTCAAGCTTTTGATTCTAGCCGTCTGGCTCCATCTGGATTCTCCTTCACATCACTGGTAAGATATATGATGGTGATGGCTACCTTTTCCAAGAAACAAACAATTTTCAAAATACTCTCCCATATTTGTAATCATTTATTACATGTGATGTCTCACAGTCTTTTTTTGTGATTTGTGTTAGTTTATGCTTCTTTATTTAAATAAGTGAATGTGACCTTGCATTACTTTTTGTATCTAACTGGTTTTTACCAATGGATATGGCTTACCTGAATAGCTCCATAGTGATATGATCAGCTTCTGTTTGTGACCTGAAGTAAATTAGCAGAATTGATTCTGCAATAAGTTATGCGTTTATTTGGCATTTTATATGTTTTTCTTTAGGACCTCAAAGATACATTTTGTATCTGTTGATTGGAAGACTTTTCATAGGTCACCCATTTAAGGTTTTGATTGATTCTTACTTTAGTTGAGTGCAAGGGTGATAAGCGACAACCCCATATTTCCTGATAATGAGCTTGCAGAACTTCTGTTTTGCTATTTTGAGCATGCATCTCAGTTGTTGTTTATCAACCTAAAATGTACAGTTTGCAGGGCTTCTTATTTTTTTGTAAGTACCAATCATGTATTCTCCTATGTCCTGAATTTATCTGAGCAATGTCATTTTTAGTTGTCGTAGCTAATTAATAGCTACCATTAAACATTTAAGAGAGCTGGTGGGCCTAGTAGCCATTTAATTTGCAGTTTTTGTTGTGTGCATGTGCTCATGTCTCCACTAAGCCTATCTTGTATGAGCATAATTTGAGGTTCACTACAACTGCAATTTGCAGTGAACGCAGCTGAGACATTTTAGACTAGTTCTGACACTTGTCTCATTGCAACTAACAAATTGAAGTTTAAAATTAAAGAATCTAAACTGAACCAGGCAATTGCAACTTCAAACACGTTAGTCAATAGTTGCAGTAACTGGAATTGCATGCAAGTGATATTGCATTGCAATGACAGATGCAATGAACCAAACAACCCCTAACATGCAGCAGAGCTGATAAATGTCAAAATGAGTGATTTTCCATTTGTTTATTATTGTGTATGTTATATATGGAGTTTACAGAATGAATTATACCTGATTGAGGATTATACTTCTTTATTTATTTTAAGTCTTTTCTCTCATCATTAGAAATCTAAGTAGGGTAATCTATTAATTTCAACTGGAGATTAGGTACTGTAAGTTTCTTACTGCAATTTCTCTCTGTAATTTAAGATTTCTTGCCATGTAACCTCCAAGTCTTAATTGTTTTGTCATGCAATTTCAGGTCTCTTTCTTCCAGCTGTTGTGAGGCCAATTTTAGATTCCTTTGAGACGGCCAAAGAAGTTCCACAACCAGCTTTACGTGATGTATGTATACAGGATGTGCTATTTTATTGCATCAATAATGATCTCTAATTGGAGTTTAGATTTGCTACTTTTATATTTTACTTTGTATCTAATTCCGGTTCATTCTTTATAAGGATAATGCCTTTTGAATGTTGAACATGATTATCGTGGGTGGCAGATTGTAAATTTGCATGCTAGGCTAACCTCTGCTGCTCTGCAGGATATGGGTAAGACTGTTTTCTATGTGTGGGTCTTGAACGGGTCAATGATTGCTGACCCGCAAGTTTAGTTGGTCTGGTAATGACCTTATAGAACATTACTACATTGAATCTTGAAATTTGAAAATCCTGTAGTAGGTAAATATATGGGATTTCTTGTCTTAATTTCTGAGAGACTTGTTCGGAGATCCCTTTCGGTGTTCAAACTGGTTTTCCTATGTTGTGCCTTAAATGCATGCAATGTAGTATGACAGATCTCATCATCTTCTCCTCAAGCTGCTTTCTTTAATCGTGGAATTGCATAAGCTTGAGCTTACTGACTTGTCGTAATCCTTTTCTTTTGCATATTCCTTGGATTTGGAGTTGCATGTCTGCATTTATCTCATTTGACATGAAGAGCTGTCAATAAGATGGTGGATAACAAGCCCATTGATGCTTAATTTCATAACAGATGTACCAATTGTTCATAAATATTCAATTTCCCAATAATGTAGAAGCGCATATGTTTCTTCCTGATTGAACTGTTGTCATGATTACCTGAAAATTAAACAGCTAGACTTCTGCGCTTGTGACAAGGTTTTTTGTCTTACTCAAAGGGTGCATTTTAGGCGACTTATATTGTTTGAGAATTAATTAATTAATTATTATTATTTTTGGTTGCTGATGTCGTGTTTTTCCAATAAGTGTAGGTTGTTGCGGGCGTGACTGGAAAAAATCGCGAGTGATCTGGATGGTTCAGCTATCAAGTTGCTTTTACACTTAAGTTTGTCGGTCTTTTCAATTTCTGTACGCTCTTGCCTTTTGCAGCGTCTTGTATCTTGACATACATTTTTCAGAATCTCAGGAAGTGATTTACTATCTTGATCTTGTGAAGACGTGTATCTGCTTTGACTCGGTTACATCTGTATCAATGTGGTTTATACTCTAGAACTCAAAAGGATTTGTTTAAATAAAGGAATTTTACAGAGTGTAGGGTTCACTCTTTAGAACCGCTAATTTGCCAGGTTTTATGTGTATCTTTGTCAGTTCTTGCTTATGTGGGAAACAAATCTTTTGCAGCAAATTTAAGGTTGCTGCCGCTGCATTCAGACTCCTTTGAGCTTTGAGTTAGCGTAGAATGCCGAAGTATTCATAATAGAATTGAGTATGGATCTTGTGGTCTGGTGCTCCTGTAAAATATATTTAAATTACTGAAAGTTAATCTAAACATGATAGAAAATCAAATATTCGATCTAAACATGTTTAGAAACTGAAAATATAATCTATATCAAAACGGAAGCGTAATGGATTAAACTAACCTCCAGCCATCGTCAAAGATATGGATGTTGATTTCGAAGATCTTCTAAACCTTATCTCTTCACTAAACGATGGTGTATTTTTCTTTCAAAAATTGAAGAGCAGGTGTAGGGACCCGAAATCTATATACCCTTTTTATACTCTCTCCATCAAAGAGCAATAAATGGAATTAGTGGGCAAAGTGGTTGGTTAAGTCATAACCAACTCTCTTGATGATGGGAAGTTATTGGACCACCTTGTGGTAACCGAAACTAACATTCTCCCACTTGGTCCAAACATTCCATCATCTTCCTTAATGAAAAACAAAATACATGAATCATGGTGATAGGTTCTCTAATGTTGAGTAGTATCTTCCATGTATCACAATGTATCGTGTCTCTCAATCCCAAATGACTTAATGAATAAACCCTATGTTTATTCGAGGTCCAAACTTTAATGATATTTCTCAAACAAACAAATATGTATGTGCACAAAAACAAATGAGAAAATATCAACTGAATAAGAGTTTCAACAAAATATCAAATATATATACAATGAATACTTACATCATGGAACCAAGTCCCATTCTTACTACATGATCCTTGAAATTCTTTGGTGGCATGCCTTTAGTCAAAGGATCAGCAATCATCAACTCAGTGCTAAGGTGCTCAATGACCACTTTCTTTTCCTTAACACGTTCTCTAATGGCCAAGTATTTGATGTCGATATGCTTACTACGACTACCACTCTTGTTATTCTTAGCCATAAAAACAGCAGCTGAGTTGTCACAATATAATCTTATTGGCCTAGAAATTGAATCCACAATTCTAAGCCCCGACACGAAACTCTTCAACCATACACCATGTGACGTAGCCTCAAAACATCATATGAACTCGGCCTCCATAGTGGAAGTAGCAGTCAAAGTCTGCTTTGTACTCCTCCAAGACACGGCTCCACCGGCAAGCATGAAAATGTATGCTGATGTTGATTTGCATGAATCAACACAGCCAGCAAAATCCGCATCAGAGTAACCAACCAACTCCAAATCGTCGGTCTGTCTATACATGAGCATGTAATCCTTTGTCCCTTGAAGGTATCTCATCACCTTCTTTGCAGCTCTCCAGTGGTCAATACCTGGGTTACTCTGATATCTTCCTAGCATTCCAACAGCAAATGCTATATCAGGTCTTGTACAGACCTGAGCATACATTAGGCTTCCAATGGCTGAAGCATATGGAATGTTTTTCATCTGTTCCCGTTCGAGCTCATTTTTAGGGCATTGATTTAGGCTGAATCTGTCACCCTTCACAATAGGTGCTACACTCGGTGAACAATCTTTCATTCGAAATCTCTCTAAAACCTTTTTGATATAGGTCTCTTGAGACAAACCCAAAATCCCTCGAGACCTTTCCCTATGGATCTTAATGCCAATGACATAAGATGCCTCACAGTTCTTTGAGAGGAACTGTTTCACCTCATATAGCAAACTTTTATCATTTGCCGCAAGCAAAATATCATCCACATATAGCACAAGAAAGCAAAACTTGCTCCCACTGACCTTCTGGTATATACATTGATCCATGACGTTCTCTTCAAAACAAAATGAAGTGATAACATCATGGAATTTTAAATACCATTGACGAGAAGCTTGCTTTAATCCATATATGGACTTATTAAGCTTACAGACTAAGTGCTCACCATTACTAGAGGAGAAACCTTCAGGTTGCTTCATATAAACTTCTTCCTCTAGGTCACCATTAAGAAAGGCCGTTTTCACATCCATTTGATGCAAATCCAAATCAAAATGGGCAACCAATGCCATAATGACCCGAAGAGAATCTTTCTTAGATACAGGAGAAAATGTCTCCGTGTAGTCGATTCCCTCTCTTTGAGTGAATCCTTTGGCAACGAGTCTGGCCTTATATCTCTCAATGTTGCCTTGTGAATCTTTCTTTGTTTTGAAAACCCATTTACATCCAATGGCTTTCATACCATCAGGCAACTTGACGAGATCCCATACTCGGTTTGACGCCATAGAATCCATCTCATCCTTCATGGCATTGTACCATAAGTTTGAAATCTCAGAACTCATGGCTTGTGAAAACGTCTCAGGATCATTTTCGGCTCCAACATTGTAGTCAGACTCTTGTAGATACACGACATAGTCACTAGGAATCGCCGATTTCCTTACTCTAGTAGATCTTCTTAATGCTACATCAACATTTTCCTGAGGATCAGGATCATGTTGTTCAGCTGGTTGTTCAACAGCTTCAGGTATTTGTTGAACTTCAACATCTACTAAATCAGGATCATCAGCTTGTGGTATTTCGTGAACTGGTTCTTCAACACGCGTTTGTACTATAGGCGTGTTGTTAACAACAACGATCAGTCCGTTGCTTGAAGTGGCACACTGAGCATCTAAATGATCTTTCTCAAGACCAACGCCTTGAGATTGATCGCTCCCACTAATCAAGTCATTCTCAAGAAATTTAGCATTTCTTGATTCCACAAACCTAGTGCTATGAGATGGACAGTAAAATCTGTATCCCTTAGACCTTTCGGCATATCCAACGAAATACCCACTTATGGTCCTTGGGTCCAACTTCTTTTCTTGTGGATTGTAGACTCTTACTTCGGATGGACATCCCCAAACGCGTACATGTCGTAAACTTGGTTTCCAACCTTTGAATAACTCAAAAGGAGTCTTTGAGACAGCCTTGGTTGGAACTCGGTTTAATATGTACACAGCCGTCTTAAGAGCTTCAGTCCACAAGGATTTAGGAAGTTTGGAGCTAGCAAGCATGCTACGCACCATGTCCAATAATGTTCGGTTTCTTCTTTCAGCTACTCCATTTTGGTCCGGAGAGCCAGGCAAAGTATATTGGGCAACAATCCCATTTTCACTAAGAAACCTCGCAAATGGACCATTTGCATAGCCACTCTCAGTGTATCTACCATAGTATTCTCCACCTCTATCGGATCTCACGATCTTAATTTGTTTGCCACATTGTTTCTCTACTTCTGCTTTAAACACCTTAAAAGCATCTAGTGCTTCATTCTTACTGTTAAGCAAGTAGAGATACATGTATCGCGAGTAATCATCTATGAAAGAGATGAAGTACTTATCACGGTATGCATCCATGTCTGGACAACAAATGTCAGTGTGTATGATTTCCAATAATTCAGAACTTCTTTTGGCACCTTTCTTGGACTTGTTAGTCTGCTTACCCTTAATGCAGCTTATACAAGTCTCAAAGTCAGTAAAATCCAAAGTACCAAGTACCCCATCATTTACTAACCTTTTAATTCTATCAATGGAGATATGTCCCAATCTCCGATGCCACAGTATAGAAGACTCTTCATTCACAACACATCGTTTAGTACCAACATTTTCATGAACGTGCATAGAAGTATGGTTTTCATCATTTTGCAAATTAAGGAGGAAAAGACCATCAGACAAAGTACCACATCCAATAACATCAGATTTATAAGACAAATTAAATCCGAAAGCTGAAAAGTTAAAGGAATAACCATCTGATACAAGTCTGGAAACTAAAATTAAATTCCTAGAAAAACTAGGAATATAAAACGTCTTTTCTAAACTTAAAATAAAACCACTACTTAAAACCAGTCTGCACGTGCCAATGGCCTCCACATGTGAGGGCATCTTATTTCCTGAATAGACGCTGTGCTCACTTCCCATCGGCTTCCGCAGGTCTCGTAAATCCTGTAATGAATTGGTGACATGGATTGTAGAACCAGAATCAATCCACCATGTGTTATGATTAACATCAATCATATTGGATTCATAACAAACAAAAGAAAGTTGAGTACCTTTCTTATCAAGCCACTTCATGAACTTGGAGCATTATTTCTTAACGTGCCCCTTCTTTTTGCAAAAGAAGCACACAATCTCTTTCTTAATGTCCTTTTGAGGAGGGATTTTCCCTTTCCCCTTGTCCTTGGCTTGATCCTTCTTCTTGTACTTCCCAGGGGTAGTAAAGTTCACAATTTCCTTTTCCTTTTCCTCCATAAGCAGCCTGCCCTCTTCCTGAACACACATGGTCAACAATTCATTGATCGACCATTTGTCCTTATGTGTGTTGTAGGATATCTTAAATGGTTTCCTTTTCCTTTTCCTCCATAAGCAGCCTGCCCTCTTCCTGAACACACATGGTCAACAATTCATTGATCGACCATTTGTCCTTATGTGTGTTGTAGGATATCTTAAATGGGCCATATTGCCGAGGTAAGGTGCAAAGGATGTAGTGAACCAGGAAGGCTTCAGACATCTCAACCTCTAATACCTTCAACTGAGCCGCAATGTCCCTCATGCGCATGATATGATCACGCACACCCCTTACGCTAGTGAGCCTCAAGGATGAAAACTGTATGATCAGGGTGCTCGCCATTGCTTTGTCTGAAGTGGCGAACTGCTCATCGATAGCCTTTAGTAAATCTTGGACCTTGTCGACCTGCTCGACTGAACCCCTTATACCAGCAGAAATTTTAGTCTTTATGAACATCACACAGAGACGATTGGATCGTTCCCATTTTTCATAAAGCTGAATTTCGTCTGCAGTGCTGATTACAGTAACTGTAGGGGGTTCAATCTTCCTAATGGCATAGTCTATGTCCATCCATCCCAAATGAAGGAGAACTCTCTCCTTCCACACTTTGTAGTTGTCCCCTTTGAGCTCGGGAACATCACATTTCATATCAGAGTAATTAGCAGGTGGAATTGCTGCAATAAATTAAATAATCATGCTCATGTTACTAATTTTGAAGCTAACAAAATATGACATGTTCTACCAATGTAAAAACATGCAAATATATAAATCTAGTGACATAAAACTTGCATGTGGGCTAAAGTTCCAATTCAATTAGATTTATCTTAACTTCATGATAAAACTATCAAATTATGCTTCATTTCCTCATCCCTGTGGGTAAATTAGAAAATATAATTTGACATTTTACCCTAATTAATCATACAGATATAATAAAAATTCCTGTGGGATAAAATTTATTATATCACATCCGATTAATCACAATTAATGTTTACTCTTCTAAATAAGATCCTTAACAAGTGATATAACAAACCTTATTGTACAGTTTTAATTAATTAAGGATGATGTGGCTACTCCCAAATTAATTAAATAGTCATTTAATTATATTCACAGAAACCACCACTTGATAACCGCAATGGATCTAACATGCATGAAAATAAACATTAACCAGAAATTGTGAAATACGTAATGTAGGCAGAAAAAAAATGAAAGCAAGGAAATTTTTATTTTTTTTTAGAATTCAAAGAGACCCCAAAGGCCCAAGGCCCATCAAAGACTTTCTAATATATGGTGTAGCCCTAGGGGTTTGAACACCAAACCTCTAGGCCAAATCCTCAAGCCTTACCACTAGGCTATTTCACTTAAAGTATTTAATACAATCAGGATATGTATAGGTATTGAATGAACAGATCCGAATTGTTAATTAAGCAAATCAATTTGAACTTCATTATTGATTTGATTATCATTATACCAAGATCTTTAGAACAAATGATTTTCACAATGAACAATTAATTATAAAAAAAACGAGAAATAGATATCATTATGGAAAATCATAAGTTCTACAACCAATAGCTCTGATACCAAATGTAAAATATATTTAAATTACTGAAAGTTAATCTAAACATGATAGAAAATCAAATATTCGATCTAAACATGTTTAGAAACTGAAAATATAATCTATATCAAAACGGAAGCGTAATGGATTAAACTAACCTCCAGCCATCGTTATCTTACTCAAAGATATGGATGTTGATTTCGAAGATCTTCTAAACCTTATCTCTTCACTAAACGATGGTGTATTTTTCTTTCAAAAATTGAAGAGCAGGTGTAGGGACCCGAAATCTATATACCCTTTTTATACTCTCTCCATCAAAGAGCAATAAATGGAATTAGTGGGCAAAGTGGTTGGTTAAGTCATAACCAACTCTCTTGATGATGGGAAGTTATTGGACCACCTTGTGGTAACCGAAACTAACAGCTCCAGTGACACTCCTTATGTTTGGCCTTTCTGTAACTTGCCAAGGAGCTGTTATAGTTACACATTGCAGACTTTAATGTCAATTACGCATCGTTTTAACGTGTACAATATGTTTGCATGTCTGTAACTTGCTCGGTCTCGCATGACTGGGTGGAGCTCAGCTAGGGACGAGCAAACGGTACGCTTGTAAAATTTTGGCAAAATTGAATAGAATGCGTATCCAAGGAATTAATAATAGAAAAATATGAAGCAAGTGATTGGTAATTTTGGCAAAATTGAATAGGATGCATATCCGGGGAATTAATAAAAGAAAAATATGAATTAAGTTATCGGTAAAAGAATGATGCGGATTACTTTGAAATAGTAAACAAGTTCAAGAAAAAGGGAAGAAAATTCGTGGACTAGTGAAAATAATATATTTTGGGCAATTGAGAGAGAGAGAGAGGTCGTTTTGGTCAGTTCGGATAAAAATATTCTCGAACTCGGAACCAAACCGACCGCCTAGTACGTTCAGGATAACTCGTTTACCGGGAAGTTCCTTGAAGAATATTACACTTAATATTCTAGAGAACAACCCAAAAAATTACTTCCACCACCAAAATCCCTCACTGATCAGTTTCAATTGACAGTGAGTCCACCAAAAGTGTCCATCTGGCCCTCTTGACTCTTTCCATAGATAAGAAGTCCATTTTCATTTCGGAGTCCCCTTTCGATAAACGAAAGAACTCCCTTCCCTTTCTCTTTGGTCAAGCCTTCCCATGGTTATAGCCAAAGTTGAAATTCCACTTTGATAAACGAAGAACCCATTTTCAGTTTAGATAACCCATCCTATAAAAGGCAAGTTTATCTAAATTTTCCAGACTCTCGGAGTGGACACCCCACTTTTAGTTTCTTCTTCACTGGAAATAGAATATAAAATTCTTCCTTTCCAGAATCAAGGAATAGAATATAGAATTCTTCTTTCCTTGTTGCTGGGTTCGCCTTCACCCTAAAAGAAGATCGGGAAATAGAATATAAAATTCTTCCTTTCCCACACCAACCTTGAGAGAGAGAGGTCGTTTTGGTCAGTTCGGATAAAAATATTCTCGAACTCGGAACCAAACCGACCGAAATAATATATTTTGGGCAATTGAGAGAGAGAGAGAGAGGTCGTTTTGGTCAGTTCGGATAAAAATATTCTCGAACTCGGAACCAAACCGACCGAAACATATTTTAAAACCGAATTGAACGATTAAAACACGGTTGGTTCAAGTTGGTTTACTAGGTTCGAACCGATTAGCGCTCATCCGTAAGTTCAAGCTAATGGATTTTCTTATGAAATCTCTTCTATAAACTGAAGCTGAAGGTTGCTACGTAGCTTTATAGTAGGTTTTGTGATCCTGTAATCTACTCTGTTGGGATTGGTTGGATCATATTCATAACAGTCCATTACTCCAAGAAGATTGAATTCATGATAGCATTTACTCATTAATCTTTCACCAAATTTGTGCTTTGCAAATTGAATAATTTCTTATGTTAGTGATCTATTCACATGATGCTTGTTCATGAGTACATGGTTTAGGATAATAAGGGCTAAAAAGTGAGATTACCCTTCCAAAGCATTCTTGATGGTTCCTTTTTACGTACAATTTAATAATTTTTTAAAAAAGGGGTTAAAAAATTAAAACAAACAAGAAAGACAAAAAGGAGAGATTCTATAACCACGCCACATCGTGTGAAAATACCTTGTCCACAATTAATAACATGTCTCTTAACCCGATAAGTACTTATTACCCAAATCTTAATTGGTCATGATTAAGGGAACGTTACAAAAAACAATGGCTAGTTTACTAGGCCTTGAATAAGCACTTTTTCATCCTTGTATCTGACTAAATCTATCCCTTTGAATCTCCCTCGCCCATTTCCCAAAAATACTGCTAATAATAATGATCCGTTAGATTAAGTGAGAGAAAGAGAAAATGAAGTAATAAATAAATAAATAAATAAATAAAAATACTTAGTCGAACACGTCTGGATCCGTTTAACTTGTGTGAGGATGCAATAAATAACCTGAAGCACTTTCTAAAGATCATAATGATGGGCCTCTGAACATGCAAAAAAGTTAATTAACCCGCCCTTTCAAATGTTTGGTTAGTTGCATAATCATTATTCTCTTTTCTACATCTATATAAACCTTCCCGCCATGAATAAAAATAAAAAAAAAACTGCAAATTGCAACTCCTCAACACACTGATTGCTTATATCATTTTTCTCTCCCTTCTCACTCCATTAAAATATGGAGTTGGTCCAATCTACTAGCAATGTCATGTCCATTGATGATCCGAGCCTATTTGATTGTTTTGAGTTTGAAGATCAACTCAATACTATTCCACCTCTTCAATTCAGGTATTTTTGAAAACATTTGTATAATAGAAAAATATGCTCAGAGAATTTATTTATCAGAGAAAATATTTAGAAAATACATTTCTCTTAACTGTAAGTTAGAATGTTGCTATTCCAATATATTATCAACGAGTCTAAAGTTAGACATTTTGCTGTTGTTTTTACAGCGAAGTCGATGCTTTCGTTCCATTTCCCACCAGTTTCGACGATCACTGGATGGATATCTCCAATCTCTCATCGAACAATTTCGATGCCACAAAATCTTTGCTACCCTTAGTCCCTGAGAATTACTATAGAGACCTTCCACCGTTAAATGAACTCTCATTCGATTATGAAATCAATCTTGATTCCTTCTCTTGGGATGACAACCTCAGCATCCCTCGTAACCCTGGCTCAGTGCCTCTTAACACTGTCGATGATGATTCAATACTTTCCTTCCCCTTCGAGGCGAAGAAAAACTTGGACTACGACGACATTAACGAAGATGAGCATGATGTGAAAATTGAGAGAAGGATTAATGGGCGATTGAAGTTGGGAGAGATCGGTCTTGATGAGATAAAGAGCTACTTCTACATGCCGATAACAAGAGCAGCCAAAGAGATGAATGTAGGGGTGACGTTGTTGAAGAAGAGGTGTAGAGAGCTTGGGATCCTTAGGTGGCCTCATAGGAAGATGAAGAGCTTGAACACTCTCATTCGTAACGTTCAGGTATGTATTTTTATGTGCATAAATTAAATACTCATGTGTGGTGTCATATGCATCAAACATTCTACATATGTTGCTATTAATCAATGTTAAAAATTTAAAAGAAGTTGCTACGTGTCATATACATCTTGCGGGGAAGAGAAAAGGGTTTGAATTTGCCTAATTCTTTCTGATTAAAAGCAAACTGTACTCTGTAAAGGAGAATGAAAAAGACATTTTGTTAACTTAGTGAAAGACACTAAATAATTAATTCATTAAATATTCTCTGATTTTTTTTTCAATCTAATTCTGAAAATTTGAAAATCCTAAAATATGTTGTGACCTATATATCTAGGCCGCATACATACATACCTTAATATTAATTTGTAAGTTTATATATTTTGATAAGGTTTTATTTATCTTTTTGATTTGAGCAAAAACATAAGCATTCTGGTTTCGGGGTTTTGTTCAATAACTAAAAAAGTAATGAATTTGAGTTTAATCTAATTCTATATATTCATTTAGGATAGTGAGGCTATGTTAATTTTTAATGGGGTTGTTTTTTCTCATTATTTTGGGATAGTGCCTACTAATAGTGATGAGATATACTAATTGTTTCCCCCATTGGTCCTTGTTACTTAGGAGCTTGGAAAGGGATCAAATGAGGAGTGTATAAAGAGGGAATTGGAGTCATTGGAAGAACATAGGAGACTGATGGAAGAAAATCCAGAGTTAGAATTAACTGAGAGAACAAAGAAACTAAGGCAGGCTTGCTTCAAAGCTAATTACAAGAGGAGAAGGGCAATGCAACATCCCTACTTTGATCCCCTCAATGCATCTCCTTACTAGT